AGTGGCTTTCCTGAACTGTTGTTGCTGTATACATTTTTGTTTGGTAGATTTTGATCTTTTTTCATGTATTGATAGAATGATTTATTTGGTTCTTTGTATTTTTGAGGTTTATTTTGACTATCTTGCTGTTTTTGTCTACATTCGGAAATACTATGTCCGTATCGGCGGCAATAATTACACCATTTTTTGAAAGATGGTTTGCCTTTAAAGTTCGGGTTCTTTTCGTAAATATTGAGTATTTCAGTGATTTTTTCAACGAGGTCTGTTTCTGATTCCTGTATATTATTAATATTAGTGGGAGTCGTTTCAATTTTGTTAACGTATTGTAATTTCAGATTTTCCGTTTCTTCTAGTTTCATCGTGATTTCTGCTTGTTCTAATTTGTCTACTAGTTTTCGAAAATCTAAATCGGGTTCTCGAATTGAAGAAGGATGGGATGCTCTCTTTTTTATTGCTATTTTCCTTAATTGTGGTGTTAAGGTCATCATTAAGATTTCTGTCATCTTTGTGTTTTTATAGTCATGTGTATTTAGTGAGTATGCTTTTCGAACTAGTGTTTCGATTCGTACTGCTATTTGCTTGATGGTTTCGTTTGGTAATCTGCGAATTTCATTACATAAAACTCTTTGTTGTTGTTTGTTTCTTTCGGAGTCAAACATTTTTGAAAATTCTTGTGTAAATCTTTTCCAGTTTGATTTTATTTCTAGAGGTAGTACTGAAAACCATTTTTGGGCTGCGCCATCTAAGGTTGTTTGTATCAACGCTGTGCGTCGATGTATCCAGTTTTGATGTAGTGGCGTATTAATTGGTTCAGGTCCTATATTTAAAATCAAATTTGCTGTTACTGCATTTAAATAATCTTCTACAGAGTATTCAGGGTCTGTTCCTGTGAAGACCATTAAAGGTTTGTTTGATGTTATTGATGATCCACCCATAAGGTATGGATTCATTGTCATTTGTAATGATTCTGCTGCATTTGGCATTTGAGAAAAATTTGAAAGTTGGTTTCTTGTTATTTCATGTTGTTGGAGATAATATGGGAGTGGTATTTCATTTTGCATTTGTGATGCTTGATACGAGTGTGCAGTCATTGGATTTTGTTGTTGAATTGGTTGAAAAGATTGTGTATTAATTAGATTTTGTTGTTGAATTGGTTGTTGATGTTGTGCATCTATTGATTGTGGAGAAAAATTTCTATGATTTGTACGTGTTCTCTGTATTCCTTGTCTACGATATTCTTGAGTATTTGGTGCAAATATATCTGGTTGTAAGAAATCGTCATCTGAGGATAAATAATCCATTTGATAAGATGTTTGTTTTTTATTTTTATTCTGTTGAAAAAATGGGTAATTTTCACTGCGATCCTGTGGAGGATTTGGTTGAAAATTTTTGGAATTGTATTGGGCTGTTGGGTTATCCCAGTTTCGAGGTTTTGTATATTGATTAAAATTCCTTTGTGGTTGATAATTTGTTTTTGATGGATGTGTATAATTATAATTATGGTCTGCAAAGTTGTTTCTAGTGAATGTTTTGCGTGTTTTTGATGGTATTGTCATGGGTCTGTATGTTTGGTAATCCATATGTGAATATTTAGGGGCAACCGAAGGTTTAACGGTTGATTGTAAGGTTACCTGTGTTTGTGAAGGATTTGTATTTCTTGGTGTTGTTAAATTTGGGCGTATTGGTGAAATACTTTGTTGTGTAGTTGTTGTGTGTACAATTTCTTCATTTATGAAGTGTGATGGTGTCTGGATATCTTGTTGAGTAAGATTCCTAGTTCCATTGAGGTTTTCGTTGTGTATGACTGTCGAGTTTAAACTATTATTTTGTGTATCGGGTAAAAATGTATTATAGTTTAATGGTGTTGCATCAATTGTTAATGGTATTACTCTTACGTAATCTCTTATGTAAGATATTGTACCTATTGCTTGACTTGAGATTGATTGTGGAAAGCTTATAAATGCGGGATGAGACCATTCGGGGTCCCAAACATAATCTGATTGTTCTGTGATAGCGGTATCATCGTTCGAATTTTGGGGTCTAAAATTTTTTCTTGCTTGTGCAATTAAATCAATATTGTGTGTGAAATAATCTATTATGAACCATGCCAAAATTTTTTGTAAATCGTGTTTGGTATGTTGTGAAACGTCGTCTTTCGTGAAATTTTCTTTAATGATGTTTAAATAACTAGAGAGTAGTGTAATTTCATGTCGTACTTTCAAATGTTTAGATGTTTCTGTCGGTGAGACATTTGTTAATGGGATTTCGTTTTCTAATATCGAAATATAACTATATATTATTGCGAAAACTTCATTGGTGAAAATGGAGTTTGCTCTTTGTGAGTTTTGGTATTGGATGCTTTTTATATATTCTGAAAAAACTTTTGAAAATTCTAAATCAAGATCGTCTGTTTGTATAGTATATGTTCTATTATTATGGTTTGGTGAGGTGAATTCTATGGAGTAGATTCCATACTGTTGTGTTATGTTGCATATATCTTTTAAGTAGTGATCTATGATTTGTCTTTTGATTTTTACATCGGGGAACTCTGTTTTACATGGACTGATTCCGGGTTCAAATAAGTTTACGAGTAAATTTTGACAAAATATGTGTTGTCCTCTATCAGTATCTGCATCTACTATAAAAGGAAAGATTTCATCATCATCTGGAGTTTCGTCACCTGGAGTGTGCGTTGAGCTCATTTTTTCGTTCGATGACTGTTAATATGTAATTATTAATGTGTCGAATTGGTTGATTCCAATTGTATAGATGTACTGGTTTGTGTTTGTACTGCTTTTTTATTCTTCTTTTTCCTCTTTGTGATGAATTTGAAGTTGTTTCTGAGTCAGAAAAATATAATTGATCGTGAAGTGGGTAATTTTTATCTATTGATTCTTTTAGTTTGTAAAGTTCGTCTAAACTGTTGGTTTCTGATTCTGAAAATGCGTTTCGGTTTTTTGAAAATCTTTTTCGTGTTATTTGTCTTTGTTTAGTTATTATTTTCCTCTTTAGTGTTTGTCGTTTTGTGCGAATGTATCCAACTGTTTGTGTATGAGGTGTGATTACAAGGTCGTATTTTTTGTTATCTATTTCACAATTGTGTAAAATGATTGTTTGTTTATTTCCTAGGTTTTTAAATGACATAAGGTTTAGGATGACGGATGCAAAAGGTTGTTAAATGATTTCTATTTTCCTAAACTGTTAGTTCTTACGATTTTTTGGTTAGCTTAACCTGGGTCTATTTGTTCAGGGTTGGAGAGAAAAGTATATCGATTCCGAAGAATGATTTTTACTTTCTCGTGACTAGTATAAGCTAAGGTGTTAACTTACTTAATCTTACTTAGGGGTAGTGATTGTGTTCAAGGGTTGGAGAATAGTAAATCGATCCACAAGGTTCAGGTATAATTAGAACGCGAGTAGTTCGTTAGATACTATTTTAAACTTACTAAGTCTAAGATTTATCCTGGGTCTGGTAAGAGGGGGGGTCAAGTGAAGGATGAATAACCGAAGTTCTTCACTGTTTATCCTAATTTGAATGATTAGTTTTGTTTAAAAATTTCTATTAGTCTTGGGTCTTTAGAAAGGGTTGGGTAGTGAATCGACGTTTGAGGTCGTTAGACACTAATTAAGTGGGTGGGGGAGAACAAAGTTGTTCTGTTTTGATCCAAGGATAAGCCTTGATGATCAAATTTAAAATTTAATTAAGTAGAAAATGATTTAAGATCCAAGGATAAGCCTTGATGATCTGGTTTTAAAATTAAGTGACTTTAAGTTTTAATAAAGTTTTAAATGTGTGTAAAAGAAAGATTTAGTGTTTTGATGATATTAGTGAGTTGATGATTGCTGTTATGTTTTAGGTGATGAAGCTGGAACAACAAGATGATTTATGATTACTAACCATTTATTGTCATGCTACTAATTTTTATTTTTATTTTCCAATAAATATTTTTCAAACATGTTTTGTATAATACTGCAGAGTTTTAGGAAAACGATCTTAGATCTTTTTATCAATCGTTATTGTATAATATTAATTTTGTTTAGCGCCTTAAATGATTTTGAAGAGTAACTTCAAGGTTTTATGTTTGCAAATGGAAATCTAAATTCATTGCAAGTAGTATTCGAAATATAAAAGTTTGTTCTGGCTTTTGCCGAACTATCATATAACTATACGGCAAGTTTCTACTTTGTCGTATGTCGTCTTTGGTTCGAGGTCTTCTTCCAATTCCGGGTAGTTCGATTATGGTTCGGAATATTGGCTCTGATCTATTGAGTCGGAGAGACATTTCAATTAAATTATTGTCGTATAACATTTTGTAAATGTTTTTGTCTAATTTCTAATCTATTTTTGGTTAATTCTAATCTAGTAAGGTCTTGTTCGAGACTTATGGTCGCACCAGATGAGTTAGGACCGAAGTGTAACTCATAGAGTAATTTCGGATAGGGTACACCGTCTGCTCGTCACGCTATCTTATTTTCGGCCGGATAGATTCGTGCAACTTCTTAGTCTAATACCGATCCTAATCTTACTCTTATACTATCTAGTCTCAGGTTGTTTAACTAGTCTCTGCTAGGCTCAATAGATCTAGGGTATACTGGTTTATTGCGGCTGCTGAAGTGCTCGGGAGAGTCCAACTAATTTCTAAGTTAAATTCAAATCTCTCTGGTGCTGAAATTACAAGTAACTTCAGCACTTACAAATAAGTGGGTTGTTAGTTAGATGGATCATGATTGGTTAATATTAAATACTTTACATTGGTAAAACATTTAATTTATCCAATCATAAAATATAGTTTAGATCAGGTTCCAAAACGATCGGCAACACGAAAATGAGGGATCATCAAATTTAATTTTTAGCTACCAAATTTTTTACGACATTTTTAGTGCAGCAAGGCCAACTACGTGTTACTTTGCTATCAAAATATTCATACTTCATTTTTTTCTAAGAGTTTTTCTGTTCTTCTGTTGCTACTTCTGTAATCACTCAGCCGAAGTGTGTTTAGTGCGGACGAGGAGATGGACAAAATAGTGGACATGGTCAATGTCGTGGACAACCTCCGACAAGACCTCGAGCCGCAGGACTCGACCGCCACGCTTGCCCCCTCGAACCCCCCGGCTTCCGCTTCTAACAAATAGCGGAGTGAAAAACCACAATTTCCATTCAAATAACTATACCGTCGTGGAATTAATCCAGAAAAGTTTCGGAGTTTTATTTATAATCAATTTGGTGAGCCAAACCCAAAAGTTTTTAATATGACTATATTTATACTTTAAAAGACAAAGAAAGCGTAAGTTTAACGTACCGTAACATTGTAGATTATTTTTTTAATAAAAGAAATAAAAATGTGTTCTAATACTTGTTATAACTGGAATTAGGTAAACTCAGGCAAATTGACATCAGGAAGTGCTGAAATTGAAATTGACATCAGGAAGTGCTCAAATTCCTCACTCTGAATTGATTGAAAACATTTTTGAGTAATTGAACGAAGGCAAAAACTAACTTCATGGAATGAATTTCGTCAAGTTGATGAATAATAATGTCTGCAACTACCCTAATTTCGATAAAACATGCCTTTAAAAACATTTTGGCAGAAAGTTAACTAACATCCTACTTTTCATCTGAATTATCAGTTGAATTTAGAATTGAGGGTGAACTCGTAATTTTCTCGTGGCAGGAGACGAACTTTCAATCAAGGCTCTAAAACTTTGTCGACATTTTCCTTAGGTGAAAGAAACTGATTTTTTTCTACTCTCTCAAAACCCTATTCAGTAAATTTGCGATCAGAGTAGTGTATTAGTACGAACCTTCTTTTTTTCTTACCTAACTCGCAATTAAAAGCGTTGATTGAAAGTGAAAAGTGTTCACTTATTTTGTAGAACTTTTGTTATATCACGATCTAGCATTGGAAATTTCGCATCATCTATTTTTTTTGCTTTATTTGTGGCTAGTGTTTTCTATGTTGGGCCTCATAACTTATAGGTTGCAGATGAAATCCGAGACCTAGCCGAATTTTTACTAATTCGAGGCATATTATTTTTCTACTTCTATTTATAGAGCCGCGCTGCTTTTGGTCGTGTTCTAGCAGTGTTTGCGAACCCTTATACAAATTTAGGAATAAGTAATTCAGATGCAAAGTCGAAGATAAAATGGTCAAACAAGGGATTTTAATTGTTTACAATCGCGTATAATGGATTTAATATGTAAAACTTGAAATAGAAGCTGGGATTATAATATTTGATTATATGTGACTATACTTAATAATAATTGTATCGAAAAACAGATGGACTAATAATCGATTATAATCGATTAAATTGTAATTTAATTGATTTTGATTTGTTTCTTAAAAAAGAGATTATAGCTAACGATTAATTGATTAAAAACGATATTTTTCTCAGTTTTAGTGAAACTGGTACCAAAATTATAACAAAACTTAAAAATAACGCTTAAAACTGAATGCGAAAAGCAAAGCTTCGACTCTGTGTAAAACTGTTCGCCGCACTTGAGATATTGACGTTCCGAGATCAATTGATATTCAAGGTGCTTGAATTGATAAACATCAAAAGAGACTGAATTTAGGGAAATTGCAAAAACATGGACGCTCGCCTAAAAATCCAGTAGCGATACGTTAGCAATTATTGCAAGATTATTCCGAATTTCGGACATTACATGAGAGAATCTCCATTTTTTTATTGTTAAGAAAAACCCTGAAAAACGGGAGTGCAAAAGTATGTAACCTGACTTATATTTTTTTTTTGGCAAAACAAAGTTTAGAGAGCAAAAAATTTCCACGAGAGGTAGAAATCAGAGATGAAGCAGTAAAACTTAGTTTGACCACAATTACAACTAACAGTGGCAATCCCGGCAGTACCAGTGACGATCCTTGAATTCACACGCAACGCAATTTCAAAAAATTAAAAAACTGAAAAATTAAAATTGAAAAGAGAGCTAAGAAAGCAAAAACTTGACAATAGTGTAAATGCAGCAGACAAAACAGCTATAGAAATAAGAAACAATTATCCCTGGTTCGTAATTACCATCACAGAAAAAATTTTCATAAAGTATTTCAGCAAAAACTAACTTCCAGCAGAACAAATATTGTTATTAGACTTTGAATATCTTGATTTTTTATCAACAGTACACTCTGAAAAAAAAAATATGTTTTCAAACGAAGTGGAATAAAAGAGTCTTTTTTCTTAAATAATAGTTTTTGTTAAATTTTAGACTTGATTTTTGCCATTTTGTGTTTCGCGAGTGTCTTCTTTTCTTGTATGTACAAAACAAAACTAAGAAATAGCGGTTGTGCCTCACCCACTTATGATCAAGCAGAACGTTCCGACTTGCTGTGATACGCAATTTTACGACCAGAATCGGGGTTCAGAAATTTGACGATACATCCTCGTGATCACGCAACAGAAAAGCGTTTCATAAAAAAAAACATCAACATTTTTTTTTCGGAAAACTATATTTAAATGAAAATTTGAATTTATTCTGAAAAGATCGACCTTACTTCCAATTTTGAGTTCTCAAACATAAACCAAACCATACATAGTAGGAAACAAATCAAAACCTGGAACATTTATGTTGAGCATAAATCTTTTAGAATGAAAAAAGTTGGGAAAGCAAGAAATACAAAGATTTTTGAAAAAAAGTAATTTGATAATAATTATACTTCGAAGAAATTGGTAAACAAATACTCTTCAAAAACAGTCGCAATACTGACGGTGTCTAAGGAAGAAATTATTTAATAACTTCAATCAGAAATCACGGCGCTACTACTGACATCTCAGCGCAATACTTAACACCAAAAATAGTATTTGATTTCATCATAATTGCTTAATTACGAAAAAGATTGATTAACTGTTTGATAAATTTACTATTCCGCTGGCCGTTATTCATGTGTAACGGACAAGTTAATGAAACCGATGTATACAAACTTAAAGTTTAAAGTGAAAAGTTACAAAAACTTTTGACCGGAGACAGCAGAGTTATAGACAGAGGTTTTGGTATATTTGTACTCGATATCAGGTGAATAAAAAAAATAACAACCTAGGTTTCAATGTCAACTGTGGAGGAGAAATTTAAAACAAAAAAGTAACCTGTGTGTGTAATTCATTAGGCACCGCCAAAAACCAGAACGTTACAAAATTGAAAAATCTTTTTGAACGTTTTGTAGTTTGTCTAGGATCATTTCAGTTACTATTTGGAGACTTTCAAAAAAATAGTTTGCGTACATGAAAAAAAATTGACTCAGTTTTGTAGCCTTATTATGAAAAAAAAACCTTTCCGTATGAAAAATATAAAACGAAAGAGGTAGCAGCGAAGATAAAACATGTCTAGATTCAACCTTTACATCTATAAAGGCTTCATCCTTGTATAAAATAACAATTTATGTGAACTTTTTAATCACGTTTTTGAAACTATTAGAAGGATACATCGAGCAAAAAAATACAGACAAAAAGTTCTTTTGTTTCTATAAACTGGTAACTAATTTTGTTTTAAAAACAGATAGGCAACAACTTAAGAACTGACTTTAAGCTTTTGGGTCAAGAAGCCTTGATTTCAGTTGCAAGGAGACTTTTCATCAAATACAGGCAATGTTAAGCGATAATTGAAATTAATTGTTTCCAGAGGAGTCATTAAGAGAAACGGACGACAAAATTTGTGAGAGTGAGCGCCAAGTGGAGAAGGATTCCAACAGGAGAATAGTATAAAAATGGGACAGTGCAATTTTCGTAAGACGGGACGATACAAGCTAGAATTTTTGTTTAGTAAAAGTTTTTCACAAGTTGTTATAGTTACATTATACGTTGTTTTCTTCAAGGAAAACTCAAACTCAAAAAGTTTATTGAAAACGATAAAATGTACACCAATCGATTCCGCAAGTTACTATAAAGAACAATTGAAACACTTTTACTGGAACTTTATAAATTTTTAATTTCAATATGATGTAATAGCAAACAAGTTGAAAATCAAATTCAATCGGAAAAAAATGAGTTTAATATTAACAGATGATTTAGATTTTTATCCTTAAAGAAGTCATTTAATTCTAATTTTCACGTAGAATTTGAATCAGCTCATGCATTGCGGGCAAAAAAGAAAAAAAACACTAAAAAGCACTAAAATACACTAAAGAAAAAACACTAAAAACACCAAAAAGCTTCACATAAACGAACTCTGAAAACATCCCTGTAAACATATTCGCATTGAAATCGAAATTGTGAGCCTTAGAAAAAATCTGAATCTGCATAGTTTTTGCGTTTAATATTATTATTAGTCTATATCGGTATAGTTTTTCCTACAAAAAATAAAAATTTATATTATAACAGAGGTTCACTTGAGCGAGCTCCAAGAATCTTTAAGTAAATCTTTAAGTAAGACTGTAAATTAGTGTTTTTATGAAACTATTGCTATCCGACTATTCTTATATTATATAATGATTAAAAAAGCAAAAAAAATTAATGATCAAATATGAAAAAAAAACGGAAGATCTCAATTGATATAAGAACTCGAGAATTTTACAACAGTTGCAAATATGTTTTTCAATTTTTTTGATGAATTGCAAAATGACACGGATTTAATGCAAAATGAAAGTTCCAATTATTGTAGTCTAGAGACTACAAAAATAGGAAATAATGAGCTATAAACTATTCCGAACTATTCCGATCTCACGGTTTCAGTTTTTTCCTTATGCTTTCATTCTCATCAACGTTTCTGACATAAAAGTTCATTCATCTGAACATTTTTAACAGATGAGTACCGGGAAAAAACACCGGTAGTATTGCAGAACCATCAGTATTAAATTTTTTTGTTGCACTGATGACGTCTGAAAACAGACTTAATTTGTCTATTGACAATCTATCAGACTGGGATTTTTAAGGATGATTATATTATATAAATTATTCGATGAATAAGGACCTATACTTTATAATGATTTTTTCTACCCCCATGGTCACCTTCCTAGTACCTTTTTGATGTGGGATTTTCATCATATATACGTTCACATCTCACATCAGGCAGGATGGCTTAGATAAGTTCTGCTCGGAGATGTCAAATTAGATTAGACCATTTCAGGTGATGTTAACTGAAAAGAATTAGCTATAGGAGATTAAAGAGAATTGCTGCTGCGATGAAATGACGTCAAAAGCAATTGTGTTTTATGGATCCCTAGCTTATATTACTGTTTATAATCCGAAAAGACGTTTGCAGCGTAACGTTCTGACAAAAACTCTGCGAAAATAAACCATCCTTCTAGAAGAACCCAAACAATTAGATGTAACTTTTTCAGGTATCCTTCAAA